ATACATACACTGGCATTCATCTCCTCCTCCCTGCTTTGCAAAATGTCACAATTCCCAGAAGCGAATGAAGATAAATCCAGGGAGGAAAATTAGATTCAACTATATACCCCTTTGTGTTATCTCAGTCACCCAGACTGAATCTAAGAAATAGAAAAAAAAAATCTACTCTTGCAGGCAACTGGAGAAAAAAACAGGGGCACACTTTACTAAACTCATTTGTTTCTGTATACATCTTGTGGACCACTGAGCAAAAAAGATGAAGCTGTTGTCTATAGCAACCAATCAGAACTCTTAATGTATTTTTCCGATGCAGGATTGGTCGGACATCAGTAACTTCCTTGCTCCGTTCATCATCCATCCTCCCCGGTCTGTTCTTCCTAGAGGGTTTATATCCTACAAGGAATATTATAGAAGCTTCCAGCCACTGCTGTGCGCGCTGTCGGTGCATTCCTCAATAGGGAGTACAGGAGGGCATAAAAGATAAAGCAGTAATGAAGATTTACAATGTGCAAATAGTTTCTAAGAAAAGTCCTGCACGGGGAGAAAAATCTTCGGGCTGCGAAGAATAGGGAGAGAGGTGGAGATGTAAAGTGCACACGGTGCAAGCCCTTGATTTATGGAGTTTCTAAATGCTAACTGAACACTGCCAGAGGCCGCCTCAATAGCCTTTCCCTGCTAGCAGAAGAAAAGCCTTTGTGTTGCTAAGCGATTAGAGCACATATAATGAGATTTACCCCGATCCTGCTTTGCCCTTTCCTATTTTCAAGTAAAAATTGTGTGTTTTTGTGAATTTCTTATACATTGTTGCAAACAACAGCTTAACTTTGCCTTAATGAGCCTGAATATTTACTATTCAAGAGCGCAATACAGAACACCTGTCTACACAAGAAAGCCCCCCCTCCTCCTTTTTTTTCTCTGGAGGATGAAACATTATCCTAATGTTATATTCATAGGCATAAATGACTTGTTACACTTTCTTTGCATGATGCTGACAACAAATGGCCTGCAGTGAAAAAAAATGTCATTAGGTGATGGGAGCAAACCTGGTAAAACACTATGGGCTCCATCACTGCTTATTAAGCATTTGTAAACTTGGAGAACATCAGGAAAAGTTAGCGTGGGTTGGATAGATTTCGGAGCTGTCCCTTTAATAAGAGCAATGGCTGTCCGACCAGAGCAGGGACAGATTTTTGGAGCTGTACAGGGCATGCTGCCTCCCTCTCCTTTGTTGGCTTCTCTAAGCTGCATTTTGCGCTTTGCTTTCCGCCTGGCTTGGTGCACGCAAACTGAATTTGCAAGTCATTTAGGAAGAGGCTTGAGTATCCAGGCAAAAGAAAACGGGACTATCATTCCAGTCACGTACTTGCTAACTGACAACAAGCTCCCCAGCCAAAAAAAA